AACTAGTTGTTTGCTCCATAATCAAGGTAACCAAAAGGCTCACGTTTATTTCATTTCTCCCACGATTTGGTACCTGAATTTTTTCCGATATTTGGAGCAAATATATTTGACATATTGATGAGTTTTTCATCCTATTTGAAAACCTTTTTTATGGGAAAGAGTACTTTATAAATATTTGAAATATTACCCCCATACTAGCCTATCTACCATGGTCATATCTGTGCTTGTTGTTTAAGTCGATTGGTCCATATGTGTCCCGATTATTTTGAACTTTAAAAGTTTGTATCTATCTCTCATTTTGAACCTATTGAAGTGGTAAATCAATGAGTACACGCTTCCCAGATTTGAGTGAATTGAGTATGTTAAATCACTCATGCTTTCGTCTGTGGGACATAATTAAGTCTTTAAAATATCCATTTTTGTGATCCGGGCACATAGAGTTCGACCATTAACTTCTCATTTGGAATTTTGACACTCTACGTACTGTTGTTTTGATTTCATAACAGTTGTAAGTGGTTTATATTTGAGTTTGTGGAGTTGATGTGATGTATTTGGTGATAGAAAACTTGAAGGTGTTGTCCATGTAAACGTGATTGTTTAAAGTCAAAGACTGTTGTAAGTTGTGGATGTAATAGCTATGAACGTATATTTGTTTACATATGCTTATGTTGGTTGTAAAATTTTAAACTTTTTTTACAAGTCAATTATTGTTTCCAAGATCACCCTTTCCTTTATATCAACACAGTGACCTGAGTCATATAAGAAACAATGTTGTTACCTTGAATGATATCCAGAAGGAATCCCTCAAGTTGGATTTGTTTCATGGTTCTCTACTTGGCGATGTAAAATCCAAAGAAAGGATCAATGGATAGTTTGGAGGATTCAAGAATGGAAGCTCTTATGACAAGAGGGGATTGGATGAACCAAGTAGTTCGCCAAGAAATTCATCAAGTAGCAAAGCTCATTCCTAATCAAAGTTAAGAGGTTCTTATAATGCAAATGGTTGTTGGTTTTGTGACAAGCCCATACATGCAAGATACTTTTGTTGGAAAAATAGTAGATTCCTCAAAGGATTCCAAATGTAGAATAGCAAGGGAAGGTGAGACCAATAATGGAGCTAATTAACTTGAAGAATCAACAAGCACTGCTATTGAAAATGGAGTGTTGATAGCAGGATGCAACCCCATGTAATGTCAAAGTTGGATTCATGATAGTGAAGCCATTATATATGGCCCCTATATAATATGGCTTCATGCAAGCCATGTGAGGGTGGATTTGTGCCAACAAGAACCAACTTGATAACAAAATAGTCAGAATAGCTCCAGTGTTAGGTTTATGTGGCTTTTAAAGGCCTTATGAGAGTTTGTATGAGCATTTTATACAATAAAACATAAACTTTGTGGGAGTGTGGTCATTGTGTGTACCAGGTAAATGTGATTTGTGGATACTTGGACTAAGCTCATATTATTAGGCCACCCAAGTTTTGAAAAAATCCAAGATACCTAGGTATAGGGATCTACCAAGAAGGGTTTAGTGGGTTAGCCCTTGATGAGGTCGAAATATGCCCAAATGATAGCCGATGGACTATGTGGCCTTGCTTGTCATGAATAGCCTTTAAATACAGGGCTAAAAACATCATTGTTATATCATCACACGACATGTACATATATAGTTGTATTAAGATTCACCAATGAGGATGAAACGTGTAAATGTGTGAGAGATTACCCATATGCATCATGAAGTCATGGTTGCATCATTGTTTAGACAACCATGCTTTTTTTGTCTCTATAGGTGAACCTGAAATCCATAAACTAGGATTGCATCCCCTAGTCTATTGGGTGACTTTGGTGATCCAATCATGAGCTTCTGCAGTAGACTGTGGGTTATGGGAACTACTAGGTCAGTTCGAGAAAGCTAGGTAGATTATAGTTTGCAGTTGTAGGTGGTGTGCTCTCGTACATTGATAAATTCTTAGATCTAATGGATCTAATTCCCATCAAATTTAATTAGTTTAAACTAATTTTATGTTATATGATTTTTAGAATGCTTATTTGAATTTTTATGAATATTTTGATATTTCATTTTTGTCATTTGGATTTATAAATTAAAATATTATAATTTCCAATGTTTTAAACAAAATATGAGATTTAAAAATTCTAAAATCAAAATAAAATATTTTTTTAAATTATGTGGGACCCTCCATAATATGGGAGCTCAATGTGTCACATGTGGGAATTGGGTGGGGCCCACATGTTGCCACTAAAGCGTGGCACGCCCCACCCATAGGGACTAACTTGATCACCAAGTTAGGTGATAGTTATTCCTTTGTTGGTTGCTTTTCTTTTTTAATATAGCCAATGTTCATGATAGATTCAAATATTTGAAATTTTTTAATAAATCTTGTCAATCAATATTACATGATTCAATAAATAAAGAATGAATATTTTAAAATAAAAGTAAGAGATATATTTTACTTATTTAAAAATTTGATGGAAATAGATTTAGGAAATATAAGATAAATTTGAATCTTGATGGTGGATATGGATGACAAAACGTAATACATAGAAAATCAATAAAAAGAGGCTCTCCCACCTCACAAAATATCTACACTTATTCTCTGTTCTCTCTCTAAGATGTTATCTCTCTAATATTACTCCATAGGTACATCCAAGTTTTAAGAGGGGCACTCGAGAGAGAGACTCTCTCTCCAAGTTTTTAAGAGGGGCATGCCCCAACCACCTATTTCTCTCTCTCGAGTTTACAAGAAAGGGCACGCCTCAACCACCTCTCTCTCTCGAGTTTACAAGAAGAGGCACACCCCAACCAGTAGCATCTCTCTCTCTTGCTTTCTTGTTGACACTCTCAAGGTTAGGGTGGTGGTGGTTTTGATATTTGGTAGCCAAGAGGAAGATCCCCTTGCTAATAGATCTCTCCCTCACGCTTTGATTTCTATCTCTCATCACTCTAAAGATCAATCTGGCTTGAGTAAAAGACTAAGACATTGAGGCTTTAGATATTTGGTTCTAGATTGAGATCTATATGTCATTGAGATGCTTTTTGTTATTGTAGGAGAATCGTTAAAGCATTGAGGCCTTAGATTGAGATCTATATATCATTGAGATGGTTTTTGCTATAGTAGGAGAATAATTAAATGTTTTGATTTAAGGAGTTATTCAATAGTTGTAGTAAGTGAGAGCCGTTTCTTTTTTTGAAATGATGAAAATGTCCCAAATGCTCACTTTGAATTGAGGGTCTAAATGCTCACTTTGTAGAGAGATAAAGAGCATGTTGTGAATTATTTCTTTAGGTGAGAGTTTCTACGCAAATGTGCTAGTGAAATATTATTATGATTAAAGCTCCAGATATGATAAACCGAGAAACTAACATGTAAATGAAAGAAATTCACCTTGTATTGCATATAATGGGGAAATGGGATTTTACATATAGCTTGGGATCATGAGGAGTTCCAAAGACTTTTTATCTCTCTTACATTTTTACATCAAAAAAATATACATGTTCAAATACCCTTGATTCAAGCATTGAAGCATATTACAAATCTTAGAAGAAAGTACAAAAAAAAAAAAGTGGAAAAATATCAGCACCAAAAGGGACTTAATGACACTCTTAGACATAGGTATACTATCCACTCTCTGACTTCTTTGACTTGGGCTTCAAATGATGTTTCTCTCTGTAGAGCCTCCAAACAATATCAGACGTGTATTGGCATTGCTTGGGCATGTAATAACATTTTCTATGGAGATGGGATATTTACAATAGTGCACATAATAACATCAATGATAAGCTTTAATCCACTTTTGAATTTAACTTTTCTTGATATTCGAATTTGAACACAAAATTGCCCAGATCTTTCTCGATTCATTATGAGAAAATCAAAGAATAGGTGGTTTATTGGCAGCTATTGCCTGTCAAGTTGGCAGATAGTTCAAGCATGTTTGATTCAAATTGGTTTCATTTTCTAATGGTGAATGATTTTGATTTGAGATTTCAAATGCTATTAGATGACTGAAGGAAAAATCTAATGGTCGGATCAATGATGAGGGAGATATGACCCATCGAATTTATTAGCGAGAAAAATATGCCCCATCGAATTTGACCCATTTTCTGTGCAGATTTCGACAATAGATCTGGCTATTATAGACCTAACCGCTTTCACATCATGGAGGTATTGACCCTAAGAGTGAGATATTCTTGTAACGGGGCTCACAAGGAATACTTCGACAAAATCTGATGCAGAAACTCTTTATATTATTGTGAGATATTGCAGGTCAAGCTTTGAGATAGATTTATGACTATCGTACTAAGGCTAGTTGTTTTCATGTGGGAGATCTGAACAACTCATTTAACCGATTATCCAAAAAGGCATATTTACAGTGCATCGCCAAAAAGATAATACGATCTATTTTTCCAAAAATCGTTAATATAGAAAGCTGAGCGTGTAACAAGTTGCAGCCTTAGAAACTCAAAAGAAAACAAGAATCAGCCTCGACAGAGGAAAGAGGGATCCGAAGGGATGGCTCTGTTATGTTCATATGAAAATGTGGGTCGTCTCCATAAACAAGATGGCGACCCAACGCTTTCTCTTTAGCTCCACTCCAATCTTTGTGGATAGCCATACATTGAGGATCATCCGCAAAGGCAGGCATCACCATGTAGACGCCAATGAGAAGGAAGAACTCCACACCTCCCCGGAGAAATGGAATTAGAATCATCAAATGATTCACACTTAGATTTTTCCTTTTTTCTATTTTTTTTGAAGTACAATGTCTGTATTAAATAGCACTCAACTCCAATTATTGCAATTATGAATAAAATTGAACCTCTTAAAGAATACATATGATAGATGCCAATAACTTTCAAAAGTAAATATCAGTGGAACTGTCTAGTTCATATGTTTGAAATTTCAGCCTACCATCTATTCATACCTTTACCTTGGAAAAAAAAAAAGGGAATTGATTGGTTTTTATCATTTTCGTGATCAGCTTGAAGGACATCATCGATCGATACCAGAAAACCAAAGAGGGAAGAGACAGAGATCTTCCAGCACCAGAGATATTGGTACGTCTGAGATTTATTTCTTGATTATTTTTTGAAGTTATCTATACAAATTTGAGCATGGATACATGGAGCCCATATATTCGTGGACCTTATAGGAGCAGTGCATATTATCTTTGTCATCAAGTTTTATTTGTAATGAAGTTACCATAATATCAACAATTATTCCACTCAAAAGTTATTAAGAAAAAGCCTGATTGCAACTCCATGAACTTCCACAATTGGATATCTACTTAAATAAATCATGCTGCAGCGGCAAAACTGCTGCTTTATAGACCAAGAGTTCCCCATTCAAAGGCTCTCTAGGTCACTTAGTCAAGTTTGACTATGCCTACGGCGAAAATGAAGAAACTGATAAATGCCCAAAATGGAATGTTTTCTACCGGAGTCAAGTTTCAGGTGAGAGATTTTGCCGCCATTGCTTTGGAAAAGAAACTAGGGAATTTCATATTTGATGTACAACTATTTTATTTCAATTAAATATATTTCTTTATAGCCCAAAAAAAAGAGCAATCACCTCCCACTCTGTTTGGATGTGTGACCATATGCTGTACTGAACATAAGCTGAAAATAGTGTGACAAGACGCCCAAAATTTTCATCTTCCCAGAGAATGCGGGATATATGCACCCATCAGCAACACTTTGAAGTTGTAGTCCTTCAGCCCTCCATCTAGCAGTCCTTGAATTGTTTCAACAGAATTGTTACTTGGTTTATTTCCTATCTGCGCATTAAGGTTTCCTTTTATAGCTCTAATTAGACATTTGCTTTCCGATTTGCCAGTCAATCAGATCTTTTGGTCAACAGAAATCAAAATTCCTGTCTTAGAATCTTTTGTGTCAAGATTCAATCATCTCTCCACAGTACTCTTTGTGCACTGTTTTCTGTCTCACCCAACATTTATGGAACTGACAGGAATTTCTTTTCTTTCCCCCTCTTGTTTGTTGTGCAATTCAATCAGCATCTTTGCCGCTCAAAATGGCTGGTGAGATTCTTAGAAGTCTGTTAAGGAATTGCAGATGCTAATTGTGGCCAACTAAATGTTTTGCAACTTCATTTGTTTTCCAGTATTGTTGTTTCTCTTGTATCATTCCACAAAATATTGGTGTCCAACCCTCCATTTTTTCCCCTAGAAAGTTGCCACATATCTTGGCAATAATATCCAATTACCAATTTGTCACTGACTACAGTCTCATGAACCTATACTGGCAGGCCAAGCCTCTCTCAAATCTTTCAGTGGCGAAACTGGCCCAGCCAAAGTCACTGCAGGCAAAGAAAGATGGTGCCATGAGAAGGAGGAGAATGCCACGACCCTTTATTATGGTAACCTTTTGCCAGAAAGATAATCTCCCATTGTACCCTTGGGTTAATGGTGATGGCAATTTGTTCGTTGGGACTTCTTAGGGATAGGTTTCTAATATGCAAGGAGTAGAATTTCTATTTTGTAAGGGATACAGTAAGAGCTTTTATACAATTGCAAGGGGCACAAATTCTAAAATTTAATGCAAGAGAGTTTCTAATAAGGATAGGAATTTTATCAATAAATGGATAGATTAGAAGGTTATAGACGGGGGACTCAGGGCTAAATACGGTGGGGATATTGGACAGCTGCATTCTTTAGCCAATTTCCCAGTGGAACAGTTATACTCTTACATCGATCCACTTGATCATCTCCTTACGAACTCTAAATTCTCATGCTTACTGCTCAAGGCCCTCACTACAAGATTGAATTTGGTACTCAAAAGTGCTGTTTCGAAATACTCAATTCACAGAATGGAGCCAACAATCCATGATAGCATGCTTAAATGATGCAGGCCCACTGTGCACTGTGAATGATGGCTCCTTGTAGAAGCCACATAAAATCACTTCTTCCTCAATTAAGTAAAAAGAAATAAACAATTGTATTAGAAAATAAACTTCTATATTATAAGGAAATGCTTCACTAGTTCGTAAAAGAACTTGATCCTAAAGTAAAGCAGTTGGAATGAAATACAGCTTGTTAAAAAAATTATAAATAGAATGTTTCGGAACCATGTAGCTCACCCGCACTCTGAGATATATTTATGGATGTAGATTGTCAAAATAACAACAAGCAATAGTTAACTAAGAAGAAAATGGAAAGTACTATCCAACGAACTTCTGTAGCTCTCATCTATTTCAACCATTAACTAAAGCAGTATTTTCCTTCATTCATTTTTGCAGGAGGCCATAAGTTTAAGGCAGCAGGCAGAAAAGATAAAAGAAACCCTCAAGTAAGTAATTTCATTTTCATAAACTTTTTAAGGCATAGGAGAATAATTTTTTGGTAACTATTACTTCAAATGTAGCATTTTAAATATGGAAAATTGTTTCATGCGGTGAGGACAGCATTTCTACATTTGCAGTCCCCGAGGTATGAAGCATCCATCTTAAAGATGGATGCAAATAGGTGATCCATCTAAAAACAATTGAAACTAATGGTCCAAATGCTTTCTTATAGACTTATTATTTATGATTTTCCAAATTTATTTATTGTTTCATATTCATGATCTCCATGATAGAGATGTGATCTCCATGATAGAGATGTAATCTCCTTAAAAATTAAGTCAAAAAATCCAAGCATATCAAAAATACATGGACTCGTAGAAACCGTGTCCTTTAAATATAGCTTACTACTTCAGATGTAGCATTTTAAATATACACTTGCATATACATCTCTGATAACCAACACAATTTGATATGCCATGCAAATAATACATAATTTGCTTTAAAAGATATCCCTAGACATAAAATTCTAGACCATGAACCAATAGAAATTCACCTAAAACAATAATTAGTCATTCACGTGGACTCTAAACCAGCCGAGCCCAATCCACCAAAGGCCCTGCCCAATGCACAATATTTCTCTTTCCATCATATAAAGGTGATAATACGAGGGTATTCAAGGACCTACCAAAACCTTCAACAAGGATGTAATATGGATCTTGGTCCCTATAAAAACACCATAGAAACCCTATTCATATGGGCAAGTAAAATGAATGTGCAAAAAGGTCATCAAAGTTATCAAATGCATATTTCATGATGTGGCCGCTCCGTGGAACCCTGCTTGTGAGCGGAAATCCCTGCAAGCAGGGATACTTTCATCATACCCTCCCACTCAAACCCCAAGAACAACTCCCCACCCAAAACCAAAAAAACAATCCCCTCCCTCTCCACCAAAAAAAAAAAAACGAAGAAACAAGGAACCAAATTTCCAATTTTATTGGTTCTAAGGGCATTACACATTAGATTTATGAAATCAAAAGTTTCTCAATTTCTGTTTGAAATAGAATATTTCATTTATTTGCCAGCACGTACTTGAGGAGTCTGGGTTTGATATGGAAATGTGGTTGGTACTTGGTATTTGCTACTTCCTAGGCTTGTGCATTAGTATAGATGTTACATGTAGACTAGGGTTTCATGGAGAACCGTCAAAAACTTTCTAGGTTCTATTTTGGTATCATAATCATGATTGTTTTTTTTGAAGATGTTAACTTTTGTATTAGTAGAAGGGCAATATTACAAAGGTATCATAATCATGATTGGTTGCCTATTTTGATACCTTTGTAATATTGCCCGATATATATAATAGGTAACAAAATCTTCCTATAAATATATATGTATATATATATGATACAATCTACATTATTAAGCCATAGTTAAAATGGTGAACACATGGAACTAAACTAGAATAGGACCCCATCACAAGAGGGAGCTCAAGGTAGGGAACATATTATAAGAGACCTTATAGAGAGAGGATTTAGGGTAGGTTAACTCCTGAGCTATTTCAATGTCTATCTCCTCGTGTATTCTCATCAGACATCATAGCCTCATCCCACTATTTGGGGTCACTTGTATGAATCATGTTCTGCCATTCAGCCGTCTGATTATGCTGATTTTCAATACGGGGAGACTCATTAATTAATGACCCACTATTCAATCTTTACTCAAACATGCCCACAGCAAAGGACCTTCAAGATGCTCTAGAAGCGAAATCTAAAATTAAAATGTTGGAAGGAAGAAAATAGGTTAATAACTATATGGATTCTAAAATTACCGAAGATAAACGTGTTGGCCCAAGTCCATGAATTTCATATCATAGGGAATGCATAAGTCTCTTACGGTATCAAAATTGATGAGCCATTCCATGAAGCTACCATTACAGCCAAATTGCCACCCTCCTAGAAGGATTAGAGGACTGATCTAATGCATAGACCAGAGGACATAAGTTTGGAGCAGCTGATGACCCAGCTGCAGTTCAAAGAGGAGACCAGACTTCAAGGCATGAAAGAGCACACCTCATAGATGGTCACTAGAGCTCATTTCCTTTAAGGAGGATAAAGGAAAGAAACCTATGGTATACTACTTTTGTGGCAAAGCTCGTAAACGTAAAAAATTTGCAAGCTTCGAAAAAAGAAATAGGCTCAAGACAATGTGACCGACCAAAAATATGTTGGGGTCTCCAAAGTAAATGGTGTAAGGGGCACCACAGATTGGAGGGTGGACTCAGGAGCCACCAAGTATGCATCCAATAACATGAGCACTTTTAGGACTTCTTTATATGGCCACTTCCCCTTTTGCCAAAGTAGTTAAAAAGGGATGGTCGAATTGAACTTCTTGTCCGACAAAGTCCTCACTCGTTTAGATTTTTATCATACCCCTGAAACTTGGAGAAATCTAGTTTCCACATACCTTGTGAATAGACGAGGCTTCCAACTTGTCTTCAAGTACAAGTTCATCTTATCGGTGACGGGTGTCTTTGTAGGCCAGTGTTATGCCTCGGGAGGAATCTTCAAGCTCAATGTACATGAAGAATAAGGTAACTCTTCTTGACTCTTTTTCTTTGTGGCATGTTAGATTAGGACATGCTAGTTTTCGTGCATTGCAAAACAAGAGTGCTCTAGACCTGATTAGAGTGACAATAATACTCTGTGATATGTGCATATTGTCCAAGATTACAATAAAGCTCTTTGCTAAAGTGGAAGGAAGCTCCAGGTTATTGGAATTAATTCATAGTGCCATTTGTAATCCGAAAGACATACAGACACATGGAAGGAAGAGATACTTTATCACTTTTATAGGTGATTTCTCAAGATATGCCTATGTTTACCTATTAACAAACAAAAATGAAGTACTTGAGAAGTTCAAATTTTATAAAACCGAGATTGAAAATCAATGTTTTGAACAATTATAGAGGTGGTGAATATTGTTCCATTGACTTTACTAATTTTTGTGAAGAAAGTGGAATTATTCACCGAGTAATTGTCCAATACACGCCGCAACAAAATGGTTTAGCATAAATGAAAAAACCGGACGCTAGTGGATAAGGCAAATGTCATTTTCATTAGTTTTAACCTTCTTACTAATTTGTAAGAACAAGCTTTAATGTTTGCATGCTACACTTTGAACAGAAACACCATACTCTAAATCAAATGCTACAACATAAGAATTATGGAAAGGAAGGAAACCTTATTTAGGCTTCCATAAGGTCTTGGGTTATATGGCCTTGATAAGGATCCTTGACCTTAAGAGGCCCAGAATCGGTACCTAAAACTACTAGGTATGTTTTCGTAGGATATGTTAAACACAACAAAGCCTACAAATTTCTGGACCTCGATACGACTGTGATCAGAGTCCAAGGATGTCGCAGTTTTTCAACCCAACTTCATTGGTGAGTACAATAGAGAAATATGATGAATGACATGATAAATATGAAATTGATGAGCATAAGAACCCTGAGAACTTATAACCCAGAGAAGTAAGAAGCATGAAACCAACTAATTTGGGGTCTGAGTTTCAAATTTATCTTCTAGGAGAGGTGTTATATGTCATTTTTTACGTACTTGTATCCTCGACACGCATAAGGAGAGAGCCGGTTGTAACCTAGTCCCACCGGTGCCAAAAATGCCGTCAGACCACGGGAACACTGTAGAAATAAGCCTGAGATTGGGTGACCTCAGAATAAGTGTCAGAATGGCCCCAAATTGCATGAGATGGTAGTTTTGGATGCCCCAAGGACACCTGTAAAGTTTCCGACAAGTTTTAAGCCAATCAGAATGAAATTCGGTTTTCAAATCCAGTTCATATCATACTGAAAAATGACCATATAACTACAGCCCTATTTTTGGGGTCTCAGATGAGTACCAAACCACCGCCATCAGATCCGAAATGTCGAAAAACCCCCAAATACCAAATTTCAGCTCAATCGGACCCTCTGATACCATTTTGGGCCTAACTTACCAAAAAAAGGGGTGGGTCTTACACTATTGCGGTGCAGCCTCGGTGAACTAGCTTCCATTTATGGAAATTGTGTTTTCTCATTTCGAAATGAATTTCAAATGCTCATAACTTGTTCATTTTGAGTCCAATAACTCTCAAATTTGGACACAGGCTAGATCTCGTCGAAACGCTCGTTTTGACATATGGCACGTCCCATGACATGGCCCAAAACAAGAGAATTTTTAGAGAGAAGATGGGCTCAAAACTTGAAATTTCAGATTTTAAAAATGAAACATCTTATTCTTCAAGAGGCTATAACTTGAGATCCCAAAGTCGAATCGTCGCAAGTATGGGTCCGTTGCGATTGCGCTTCGAAGGGCTTCAATTTGATAAGAATTCAAAGACACTTTGAGCTTCTTCTCTTGCTTCTAACTTAATTCCAAACTCAAGGAGAGAGGAGACAGAAACAATTGTTGGAGAGAGAAACTACCCTTGATACCTCTCACTCCCTAGAACTCCAAACTTCCCATTTCCTAGAATTCCCTACTTCCTACTTCCCACTCCATACTCCCTAACTTCCATACACCCTAGCCTACTCCATACCTCCTAGCCTACTCCATACAACCTAGTTCCATACACCCTAGCCTACTCCATACACCCTAGCCTACTCTATACACCTTAAACTACCCTACACCCTACACCCTACACCCTACACTATCCTAACCCACCTAGGTCCATCCACCTAGGACCTAGACCCAAGCCTTAGCCTCCAAAAGCCGAGTCCTCTTTCTAAGGAGCGCTTAAAGATACCGTTGAAGGCATACTAAACCCGAGCCGCCTAGGTCCACTCTCTCTCTCATTCTCTTCTCTCTCTCTCTCATTCTCTTCTCTCTCTCTCTTCAGCTCGGACCCACAGTGGGTCCAACCTCTCTCTCTCTCTTCCACTCGAACCACAGTGGTTCGAGCTCCTCTCTCTCTCTCTCTCTCTCTCAACCACAGT